CACTCACATGGCCAAGGGTTCCGAATCCATGCATAACCAAGTCCGATCGACTAGAACGAGTAGAGGTCACGTAGAGTGGGACGAGTCCCGGCCATGCCCCCGGTAAGATGGGGCCGTGACTTACTAAAGAGAGTTAATAGAAAAGAGTTCTAAGAAAGAGAAATAGAGAGAAGTACCAAAGAGAAATTGAATGAGAAGTTGTAAAGAAAGAATTAGAGAGAGAGAGTTACGGGGATAGATGAGTAGAGGATTTACTTACTGAGCATTGTTTTAGTGCTCACCCCGTTATTTCCTATGTTTGCAGGATCCAGGTGAGGACGCGGTCAGATGGACGTCAACACGCGAGGGGAAGCGGTTACACTGTCCACCATGTTTTTGATATCTTTTGTACATGTTACAAATTTTGTATAAAAAATGTATATGTTTAATAAAAAAGAAAAAATTTGGGCCCAACTCTTTACACTATTTTATATGTATTTTATTATGTATATTATATGAGTACTTGAGTAGAAAATGGCTGTTACAATTTTCATTCTTGAACCTTTAATATCTCATTTATTACTTATACTTTCCCATTTTGCCGTTGTACTTTCTATGAAATTCCATCTTTACCCTTTAGTCAATTACAATAATGTCCTTATTTCCATTGCATTATTCATGAAATTCTACTACTTTCACTCCCCACAATTTCAACTAATTATGGGTGGAATAACCATTTTTCTCTTAAAGAAGTTTTCTATAATTTTCTCAAAAATTCCAACAAGTTCTTTGCCCAGGCAAAGTTGTTTCTTCGCCTCGGCGAAACATTTCAGAGTGTACATTGCTGCAACGAACTTTCTTTCTTGCCGCGGCGAAGTCTGTAATTCTAAAAGCATAATTTGGGCAGTGTGTACAATGCCGCGGTGAAGTCTGCAAATTTTAATTTTTAATCTTTCACCTTGAAATAAATAAAACTAAAGGCATTAAAGCATAAATAAGTTGCCTCACTGTGGGTTTTACATAAGGCGCCAGAACTGATACTACTTAACCACTAGTGTTGGATGCAAGCATAGATTAAATGGCGATATAATCTATGAAATTGAGACACAAAACAACAAAAACATGAGAATAGCAAACAACAGCTCCTCAAAGTTAAAACCCAATCAAAAGAAAAAAAACCAAACAATAATAATAAACAAAACAAAACAAAACCAATCATTTTCATGCTAAATGCAAAACTAAAACTTTGGATCTGTCATTTAATGAAAGCACTGAAATTCTCAAATTTCCACCAAACCCAGTTAAATCCTCTCAAAACAAACAAACCCATTTACCTAGAAACAAGATCACCACGCATTACACCATCTAACCCCTAAAACCCTAAAAAAGTACACCAAAAAAATCACAAATTCAAGCCCTTTCTATTGAAAAGAAAATAAAAAACACATAAAGAACAAAATGAGAGAGAGAGAGAAATACATCAAGAGAGCAACCGATTGTGTTGACGATAGCGGCTATGAGATAGGTGCAAGTGATGATTGGCATCTGTTTGTACCATTCCTCTACAGCTTGGGCCATTTTTCTTCTACAAATTTCTCGACAATTTTGTTTATGAAAGAACTTTCAAAGCCCTCGAAACACGAAGACTTTCAATCGTCGAGAAAAAGGGGTTTTTAATTAAAAAAAATGGTGATTGTGAATGAAATGAACAAAGAACAATAAAGATCAAAGATGAATGAAGGAGAATTAGATTTTTTTTAGGGATTTTAAGTTTTATTAAACCAGTTTTTCATCTGAATCAATTAGACCGGCGGTTTGACACTATTACGTAGGTCCAATCGTGGTCCAAAGTGGTTTATTGCTCAAAACCAAGTTTTATGCGTTATTGAACTGGAGTCATTGCTGATACTTGGTCCAATCGGTCTAACCAACCAGTCTAGTTTGAGAACATTAGTTTTGTGTGTAATAAACATGTTAATTAAGATTTTTTTTTTTTATTATGTAGATAAGTGGTTAAAATTGGTTGTTTGAGTTAATTTTTAATTAAAGATATTGCAAATCGAAGAATTTTGATGTTTTTGACAAAACCTAGGACCACTATCGGTGGATATCGATGGTATCGGTCACTTTTTGTAACCCAAGGTTGGGACGAAAAGTGTCTAATACCTATAGTCCTATCAGACAATATTTGATACTTTTTGTCCTCTTCAACCTTGGATTGAAAAAATGACTGATACCATTAGTACCTTCTGATAGGCAGTCTTAGATTTTGTCAAAAACATTAAAATCCTTCAATTTTTAACATTCTCATCTAAAAATTAACTCAAACAACCAACATTAACGACCTACCTACATAGGTATCCTTCAATTTTGTTGGGGTTGTAGTTATGAAGAATGGGTTAGATAGGTTTTAAGGGTTGAAGAAGGTGTTTAAAGATTTAAGAATTTGTGAATAAGGGCATTTTCGTCTATAAAAATAGTACTTAGTGTCATTTTGCTATATTGTGAGAAACCGCTTTTCAACTCCACCTCTATAATAATGCCATTTAATATAATTTCTCTACTTTCAAAATGTCCAAATTTTGAGAGAATTTTAATAAAAATATAATAAACATTGAAGACAATTTTAAAATAATTCAAGATGGGGCAAGAGCCCCTCTTGGGCAAAGACTGACTCTGCCTTTGCTTGCACTTAATTAAGGACTCAAGCTAGTATCCATGTATAAGAATAAGATGGAGATAAAGACTTAATCCACTTTGAGTTTTTGGTCCAATAGGGTCAAGGTCTTGATTTTCAAATACAAAGAAATACCACCACCATCAAACTTACAACCGTTAATCAAATTCTAACTTTAAAACAACATTTTTTTTATGTAAAGACAATCAAGTTAAGAGTGCATTATATGTTCTACCCTTACGCGTACGAGTGAGTTATTCTAGTAGTTTAAACTATAGAATTTGTAATACTATACCCAAACCCCAAGAGGTAAATACAATTATCTCATATAAGATATTCTTATATTACCAGGATATACTCATTGCTTCCCACTTCAACTATGATTCAAAATGTTCTTGATCCTAAATTCTTACCCTCACAATAATGAATAGAATATATGCATGCATGGAGTGACAGTGATGCATGTGCATGCCAACCTTGCTATAAGGACATTAATAAATGTTGTTACCAAACCTTGTTGCTCCAACACCCGGCAACAAAACAATTGGTATATATACTTAATTTACGACTATAACTATGAGCTTCACTCATTCAGATCTGATTGAACTTAAACGTTTGGTGAATCACAAGTTTGCATTTCTGTCAACCTTATCTAGTTTCTTATTCGCATTGTATTTATATTTGTCTAGATAAGGTTATTAGAATTATATATTACATCATCGTAACGATATCGAGACATATTATTGATTCGATAATGTATACGACTTATGATTAAGTTTTTGGTCAATGAAAAAGTAAATATGTATTCAGTTTTATGTATATAGACAGTAAGTTAGTAACAAATTTAAATTTCTCGATTAACGAAAAACAAATGATAAATCTCGAAAAAGGTAGAAACAAATTACTTATAAAGTAATATGTTTAAAATTGTCTTAAAATTTCAAATAATTTGAAGTATTATTATTTTCTGTTTGAATCATTAAATCACGATCTAATAAATTATAAATTATAATTAAAGGTTTTATATGATTCCGACGTGTAAATAAAAGCTTGGGATATTTTAGCGGGTAGATTTATTAGTAGTTGGTATTGTGGAAAAACAAAAAAATGTATTGTCACAACTCACATGGGAGTAAAAATCGTAGATAATTGAAGAAAAAATCATTGGATGAACTGATGATAAAAGAGCAAAAAGATATTTTATAAATTCTTATATTTGAGTTTATCTAAATATTAATAAGGGTAGTTATTAAAACTCTTATTCAACTAACAATTTTAAGACTCTCAATAATTAATTTAAGTGTGCTGGTCCAACATCCCAATAATAAAAAAACAAAAACAAAAACAACGTCAACAACAACTACAACTAAGCATTTGCATGCCAGGATGTGTATGTATAAAAGAAATAATAGTAACAACTCACTCCCATCTTATCAAAAAAGTAGTTTTAGTTTTCTCTTCTTTTCACATGGTCCCCCATTTTCACTTTCCTATTCTACCCCTCTTAATATAAATTTGTCATTTATATTTTTTTAACTTTCTAAATTTTAATTAGGATCAAAATAGTTTTAAAGTTTTTCTAATTTATTTTATTCTACTATAAACTAATATAATGAAGGTTATTAGTTAACTTAGGATTATACCATAGAACGATTTAATAATATTATCAAATTGATAATAATCATGAAATTAAAAAAATATGCAACACTAATTTGAATTATCATTTATAATTGGAATTTTTAGTTTTGTTGTGGATATTATTATATAATACAAAAAAATTCATGTTGAAAATAAAGAAATTTTTTAACGATATCTATAAGAAAATAGATTTATATTACGTTAATAATCATATTATATTCTTTTAACACGTTTAAAAATTAATTCATATAAAGATTAACGATTAAATGACTAAACAAAAACTTCAATAACTACAATATGCTGTACAACTTTAAATGAGTCTTTCAAAACTGATGTTAGATTTTAATATTATTGATTAACAAAATTTGAAAGAAACACTTCCAATATCAAAACCATATCAAAAGGAAAATAATAAATTTATTATATTGATACTTACCAAAACTCATTCTATTCAAAATTTTAATATTCCCTTTATAAATATTACTAATTAGATAAAATCTTTATTAATAAAACTCATTCTACTTAAATAAAAACAAGGAAGGATAATATAGTAAATGCTCAAAACCAGCCCTTTAAGTGGAGCCCAAGAAAGGCTGGCGCAAATTGTCATATCCGGATTCCAGATTTTTATTAAATCCGCACTTATAAGTCAACAAATTCACACATACTGTGGTAACAGTCAGTAAATAAACAATATAAGCACTTAAATACATAAGCACTTTCGCTGGTGTTTGAATCCTGACTCCTCAGAGAGTGTACAAATAGGTAAAGGCGGAGTTTAGGTTTTCTGGCTATTTTGAAAGTGACCGCGGAGACGAAGAAATGAGAGAGATTATTAGTATACACATTGGACAAGCTGGAATTCAGGTCGGCAATTCATGTTGGGAGCTTTATTGCCTCGAACATGGCATTCAGCCTGATGGGATGATGCCCGGGTACCCTTTTTAGTGTTTATGTTTAATGAGCATTTCTAGATTCAAACTTTGTGGATGGATTTTTGGGGTGGGATTGTAACGTTGTAATTTTTTAAGCATAGATTAAATGGCGATATAATCATGAAATTGAACACAAAACAACAAAAACATGAGAATAGCAAACAAAGCTCCTCAAAGTTAAAACCCAACAAAAAAAAACCAAACAATAATAATAAACAAAACAAAACAAAACCAATATTTTCATGCTAAATGCAAAACTAAACTTTGGATTTCATTTAATGAAAGCACTGAATTAAATTTCCACCAAACCAGTTAAATCCTCTCAAACAAACAAAACCCATCTAACCCCTAAAACCCTAAAAAAGTACACCAAAAAAATCACAAATTCAAGCCCTTTCTATTGAAAAGAAATAAAAAACCATAAAGAACAAAAGAGAGAGAGAGAGAGAAATACATCAAGAGAGCAACCGATTGTGTTGACGATAGGGCTATGAGATAGGGCAGTGATGATTGGCATCTGTTTGTACCATTCCTCTACAGCTTGGGCCATTTTTCTTCTACAAATTTCTCGACAATTTTGTTTATGAAAGAATTTCAAAGCCCTCGAAACACGAAGACTTTCAATCTGCGAGAAAAAGGGGTTTTATTAAAAAAAAATGGTGATTGTGAATGAAATGAACAAAGAACAATAAGATCAAAGATGAAGAAGGAGAATTAGTTTTTTTTAGGGATTTTAAGTTTTATTAAACCAGTTTTTCATCTGAATCAATTAGACGGCGGTTTGACACTATTACGTAGGTCCAATCGGGTCCAAAGGTTTATTGCTCAAAACAGTTTTATGCGTTATTGAACTGAGTTTATGGACCTGGTCCAATCGGTCTAACAACCAGTCTAGTTGTTTAAACATTGTTTTGTGTGTAATAACATGTTAATTAGATTTTTTTTTATTATGTAGATAAGTGGTTAAAATTGGTTGTTTGAGTTAATTTTTAATTAAAGTATTGCCAATGAAGAATTTTGATGTTTTTGACAAAACCTAGGACACCATATGGTGGATATTGATGGTATCGGTCACTTTTTTCCGTATAGTCCTATCAGACAACTATTTGATACTTTTTGTCTCTTCAACCTTGGATTGAAAAAATGAGATACCATTATACCTTCGATAGGCAGTCTAGATTTTGTTAAAAACATTAAAATCCTCAATTTTAACATTTCATCTAAAAAATAACTCAAACAACCAACATTAACCACTACCTCATAGGTATCCTTCAATTTTGTTGGGTTGTAGTTATGAAGAATGGGTTAGATAGGTTTTAAGGGTTGAAGAAGGTGTTTAAAGATTAAGAATTTGTGAAAAGGGCATTTTCGTCTATAAAAATAGTACTAGTGTCATTTTGCTATATTGTGAGAAACCGCTTTTCAACTCCACCTCTATAATAATGCCATTTAATAATTTCTCTACTTTCAAAATGTCCAAATTTTGAGAGAATTTTAATAAAAATATAATAAACTAATTGAAGACAATTTTAAATAATTTAAGATGGGGCAAGAGCCCCTCTTGGGCAAAGACTGACTCTGCCTTTGCTTGCACTTAATTAAGGACTCAAGCTAGTATCATGTATAAGAATAAGATGGAGATAAAGACTTAATCCACTTTGAGTTTTTGGTCCATATGGGTCAAGGTCTTGATTTTCAAATACAAAGAAATACCACCATCAAAACTTACAACCGTTATCAAATTCAACTTTAAACAAACATTTTTTTTAGTAAGACAATCAAGTTAAGTGCATTATATGTTCTACCTGTTAGAGTTGTCGACTACTTCAGCATATTGGGTAACGGAGACGCACTCGGGGCTCCTGCCTACCGGTCAGCGGACAGGGATCGCGGGGCCAGCGCCCCCGAGCCCGTAGGCGGTTTTGGGCTTTTCTAGTATAATCGCTATAAGATTTCTTTTAAGTTACTAATTCTTTATTGGGTTGGGCTTAGGAATAGGAATCCTTGTAAAACTAGGTTTAATCTCTTAAATCTAGTATATAAACATATTTTTTCTCTGTTAGGGGGGTGATAGCAAATCACAGGGCAATTTATTCATTGTAAACGAGAGAGGTGAGGCATATTGCATAATATGACTCAACTGGACATAGCCACATTGGGTGAACCAGGGTAAATCGCGCATGTTATTTTTTTGTTTACTATTGATGTTGTTTACTATTAATTTTGTTCCTATGTGTCTCTATTTAGTTCATCGACCTGAGCAATGGCCCAATTAGGCGGCCAAGTCTTGCGTTGAACGATTGAACCAATGACATCATATGACATCTAAGCAAATTTTTACCAAGTTCAAACTATGAAACTTACCCATTTTTCAGAAGAAATGAAAATTAGTGATAAGGTGTAATAACTCTTTCTAGCTAGTAGACTTTGGAAAATATAATATGAAGTCACTAAATATATCATAGAAATTATATATGTATTTAAGTACAGAATAATGAGCCCAAAAATTTCTTTACATTATTAAAAGTGTCATATACATAAACTCAAAAACAGTGGGCAGTAGTGTCATTCTCCTCCGCTCTCGACGTTCCATCTGACCGCTTCTCACCTATTTCCTGCAAAAACAGAGAAATCAACGGAGTGAGCACTAATTGCTCAGTAAGTAAATCCGCTATGATACATTTCTATCTCCGTTGCTCATATTCTAAATTTCCTTCCTTACATCACACTTTTCTATTTTTCTCGGTTCATTCTTTGTTCTTTCTCTGCTCTTTCTCTATTTCTAATTTCTCACTACTCCTGATAGTAAGCATGATATCATGCATAGGTATGATGCAATGCACCAGTGCATAGGATGTGCATTTTTCTTTCTATTTTTCTATTTCTTATTCTGTTTTTCTTTCTTTTCTTTTCTGTGTTACTTTCTTTCTCTGTTTTTCTTCTTTCTTTCATTCTATTCTTTCTTTTATTTTCTTTCTCTTCTTTCTTTTCTTTCTCTTCTTTCTTTCTTTCTATTCTTTATTTTCTCTTCTTTATTTTCTTTTCTTTCATATGCTCTTCTTTTCTTTCTATTCTTTGCCGATCAGACTCGATTGAGGCATGGATTCGAAAGCCTGGCCATGTGAGTGAGTACAGTCCTCATCTACATGCACTTCTTACGGACTATACAAATTCTTCTTCTTCTTAGGCCGCTCACTAAAGGCGGCGTGCATGTAGGTATATTCTTCTAGGTACAATCCTCATCTACATGCACTCTTACGGACTGTACAAATTCTTCTTCTTATTCTTAGGTCACTCACTGAAAGCGACGTGCATGTGAGAATATTCTTTTTCTTGTTACTCACGGGTTCCCCATCGCAACAACCTTCTTTTTTCTTATCTTTCTTTTAGTCATTACTAATCAATTTCTTTTCTTTAATAATTCTCTTTTCTTTCTTTGCTCTTTAATATTCTTATATACATGTATGCATGTAGATGGGCTTTTCTTATTGTTCTTTCTTAATTCAAATGATTAAATGCAAGGATGCAATATGGCATGTAAACATGTCATTCTCTAATTTCTCTACCATCTACAAACTCATATCAAAAAGATAAATCAACATACTCATACATGCACTGCTCTATGAACTTTCATCAAACACCTTGTATGCATAAATAAAGCACTAAGGTGATTACACTTCCATAACAATCTCTAACCACCGAAATTTTGGAGCAAAGCTCCCTAAAAACAACTTCAAACCTAGCCAAGAAAATACACTCCATAACTCTACTCAAGTTCTTTCTTAGCTCATCCAAACTTCCATCAATTACTATAAACACAATCATCACTCCTCATGGTGGAATTCTAACCATGAATCATCATCAATTTCATCAACAATTCTCAATACTTAAGCATATAAATACATATAAGAAAATTCTCTACTCAAGTATTGCTCAAATCATGACTAGGGTTGGATTTACTTACCTTGAGCTTGGGTAGTTCTACACTAGAATCTCTCTCTTTGGTAGACTTCCTCTTCTTCTTAAACCCTAAGCATATAAACTATAAGAATTCAACATTTTAAAATTAATCTCACATCTTATTGCAAGAATTTTTACCTTTGGATGCTTAGGATTGAATATCTACCAAAATCCAACCCAACATCCTCTTTATAGCCTTGGAAATTTGATGAAGAAATTGAGAGAATTTGGGGATGAAAGTGACGTGTGAGGGAGTAGAAAATGGTAGGGTTTTCATTCTTGAACCCTTAATATTTCATTTATTACTTATACTTTCCCATTTTGCCCTTGTACTTTCTATGAAATTCCATCTTTACACTTTAGTCAATTACAATAATGCCCTTATTTCCATTGTATTATTCATGAAATTCTACTACTTTCACTCCCCACAGTTTCAACTAATTATGGGTGGAATAACCATTTTTCCCTTAAAGAAGTTTTCTAGAATTTTCTCAAAAATTCCAACAAGTTCTTTGCCCAGGCAAAGTTGTTTCTTCGCCTCGGCGAAACATTCCAGAGTTTACATTGCCGCAACAAACTTTCTTCCTTACTGCGGCGAAGTCTGTAATTCTAAAAGCACGATTTGGGTAGTGTGTACAATGCCGCGGTGAAATCTGCAAATTCTAATTTCCAATCTTTCACCTTGAAATAAATAAAACTAAAGGCATTAAAGCATAAATAAATTACCTCACTGTGGGTGTTACATAAGGCGCCAGAACTGATACTACTTAACCACTAGTGTTGGATGCAAGCATAGATTAAATGGCGATATAATCTATGAAATTGTAACACAAAACAACAAAAACATGAGAATAGCAAACAATAGCTCCTCAAAGTTAAAACCCAACCAAAACAAAAAACCAAACAATAATAATAAACAAAACAAAACAAAACCAATCATTTTCATGCTAAATGCAAAACTACAACTTTGGATTTATCATTTAATGAAAGCACTGAAATTCTCAAATTTGCACCAAACCCAGTTAAATCCTCTCAAAACA